GTGTCTCCGTAAGAAGCATATCAAGGTTCTGGAGTGGCCTAGCCAGTCTCCAGACCTAAATCCAATCCAAAATCTTTGGAGGGAGCTAAAACTGTGTTGCTCAGCACCAGCCCCAGAACCTGACACATCTAGAGAAGATCTGTGCGGAGGAGTGGGCCAAAATCCCTGTTGCAGTATGTGCAAACCTGGTCAAGAGCTACAGGAAACATTTGATCTCTGTAATTGCAAACAAAGGCTTCTGTACCAAATATTAATACTAGGGTTGTCACGGTAACCGGTGTAGCGGTAAACCCCGGTAAAAAAGTTGACAATAATAACTGTCTTGTTTTTTTTTAAATATATTATCTCGGTGGATTACCGTGGCTGCGGTGTAGGCACGGTGACCCTTACCAACCACCGTATCATCTGCTGAAGTTGCCGGCGGCACATGCGCGCTTTGTTGTTTATGACTTTCTTGAAGCTAAAGCTGAAATAATGGCCAAAGGAGGAGACGGCAGCGTGCAGGACATTCATTATCCCTCAAAGAAGACAAAGTGGGAAGTACGGACGTTTTTTGGATATTTGAAGAATGCCGAGGGACAGTTGATAGAAGACGGCTATCCTGTTTGCAGCACGTGCAGAAAAAGTGTCTGTGAAAGGCAGCAACGCTTCAAATCTCATGACACATCTGCGTGACCATCACGCACAACTCTACAGTCAACGCAAGGCAAGCTAACATTAGCGTTTTAGCTAAAATGCGTGATCCGAGGATTTGGGTTGAGGGAGAATGCAACGAGTCGCTATATAAAGCAGCCGCAGCGCCGCTACCTGCATGTAAACCGTGTCGCGGACACCGCCATGTTGAAATGACGCTATGCATTACGGGGCTCCCAGGGGCAGATAAGAGTTGGTCTCTCTCCGAGAATAATTATGAATTTAACAATGATTACTGCCTGATGACATTTTCCCACATCTGCAAAGCTCACTGGAAGAACACAAACCGAGGATGATATTTTCCTGATATAGGGTTTATTACTCAAGTAAAGGTAAAAAAGTATCTGATTAGAAGGCTACTTGAGGACTGAGTATCATCTGATCTAATATTTTTAAAATGATGACATCAAAAAGACAAAAAATAAGAAGTTATGGGCAAATATTGTATTTTAAAGACTAAAGGGAAAAAATGTAAACAAATAAACAACATAATTACAAAATAACGCATTTTAGGCAACATTTAGAGACAAACTGAGGACAATATTTTCCTCATATACAGGGTTTATTTAGCTGTCTGAAAATGTCACATGTTTTAAAAAAATACCACGATAATACCGAAAACCGTGATAATTTTGGTCACAATAACCGTGAGGTTAAATTTTCACACCGTGACAACCCTAATTAATACTGATTTTCTCAGGTGTTCAAATACTTATATGCAGCAGTGCAAAACAGATCAATTCTTTACAAATCATTCAATGTGATTTCCTGATTTTTTTTTTTTTTTACATTCGGTCTCTTACAGTGGGAATGCACCTACAGTGTGAATTTCAGACCCCTCCATGGTTTCTAAGTGGGAGAACTTGCAAAATCGCAAGGTGTTCAAATACTTATGTTCCTCACTGTATGTGTGTGTGTGTGTGTGTGTGTGTGTGTGTGTGTGTGTGTGTGTGTGTGTGTGTGTGTGTGTGAGAGCTAATCTACTCATATTATTTCTATATGTGAATTATTGTCCAGCCCTACTGCCATGGTCTCCGGGGACCCCGTCTTCTTCTTCTTCTCTTCATTGTCTTTGTCGTCCTTCATCTTCCTTTTCTTCTACGTTCACTTCCTCCTCTTATCTTTTTCTTCGTCATCTTCTTTATCAACTTCTTCCTCTTCATTTTGCCCTTCTTTGTCTTCTTTTACTTCATTGTCTTCATCAGCCTTTATCTCCTCCCTTTTTTTCTACTTCCTCTTCTTTTTCTTCACCTTCTATATTCTTCTGCTGCTTCTTTGCTGTTTCTTCTTTTTTTCTTTGTCATCGTTCTTTTTTCTCTTCTTCTTCTTTCTCCTGAACTTAACCACTAACATTATATCAGAAACTTCCTTTTAAAATCTTTTTTTTTGTCAACTAAAAATTCATGCTTGGTTTTTTTAAAAACGTTTATGACTTCCTAGTAATGTGAAACAGCAGGGAGAAAACACTTGACCCCAGAACACCTTCGGGTCTCAGGAGGCTAAACAAAACAGAAAAGATGCTGAGTTTATACAAACCACCTGTCAGGGGGCATTAAAAATGTATTTCCTGAATAAAAACTTGGCTGCTTTTTCCAGGTTTCAGGATTTAACAGCCTGTAACGTTGTGTGTGCCTCTCCTTTCAAAAGAACAGCTGAAAACATGTCTGATGTCAGGAGTTGGCAGGTGTGAGGAGCTTCTTATGTTCAAGTTTGTAAAAATACTTAGTCACACTCTAGGTCAAACACATTATCTGTAATAGCAAGGGTGATCCATTCGACATGATTTCTCTCATACTTGTGAATACAACACATCTCTGGTGTCTTGTGCCTTTTTTCCCCTCCCCAGTCATAATTAGCCCATATCAAAGCAGCCTCTCTATCTCTGCTGCTACTTAGCAAATCCTCACAGGCATGGCTAACTACAGGGGAGCTAGAGCTCTGATTTTTTTATTTCATTAACACATCCGAAGAGATATTAATCTCCACCAGACGTGGTGCAACCCTGGGAAAATTGTCGAGGTTCAGTCATGAGGAAAATGATTTGCTAGCGCTGCGGAGGGGCATGTTGAAGCGACGCATGGTGTTAGTTCTGTATGACACGAGGGGGAACGAAAATAAATGTCTTAAAGCGAAGAAGCATTATAAAGTAGTGTGTTTGAGGTTAAATGGATGCCTTTTTTTAAAAAAAAGCTAAGTGCTTACAGGCAAGTTAGAGAGTGGGACTTTCTCTAATCAGACAAACTTCAAAACTAATGTCTTTCAGCTTCTTAGACCCAAGTATAACCAGCTATGGATGCATTAGCCTTCCTTGCAAAAGGTGATCACAACTACCGTAATTTCCAGACTATAGAGCGCACCTCTATATAAACCGCACCAACAAAAAAAAAAGGTTTTCTACACACACACGCCACACTCGAATACAAGCCGCGGCGCAGCAGCCACATGCAGGTCTCCGGCGCACAGCGCATGTACGGCCATAACATAAGATAATTAGACAGAAAGACTCTATACGGAGGTTTTTTTTGTTGTTGTTTTAATTCAACAAAACGAATTTTAAACACGGGTGAACGTGCCTGCAAGTTTAGAAAAGAAAACAGCAGAAAACAGCACTGACAGCATTCGTATTTCCGGATGTTATAAAATAAAAACAGCACTGACACGTTATTACCGGTCATTTGCATGTTTAGAAGAAAAGAACAGCGCTGACACAGCATTAATAAGCCCTAACACTGCACACAAAACATGCCTGGTTAGTAAATAAAACACTCTTGCCTACCAGAAAAAGTCATTCGCTCTCATCCTCCTCTTGCGCACTAAAGCCATTAAAGTCCTCTTCTTCAGTGTCGGAGTTGAACAGCCTCAGAAGAGCTTCGTCACATACCTTTTCTGTGGCGATGTCGGTGTCGCTGTCCGTGTTGCTGTCATCATCCCCGGGTGAAGCTGGCTTGAATGAGTTCTTCCCGCTGCCGTCTCCAGCGCCGAACCATGGATTCATTCATGCCAAGCTGACGTGCGGCAGCACTGTTTCCCTGCTTTACTGCCAGATCGATGGCCTTCAACTTAAATGCGGCATCATATGAACTCATACGTGTAGTTTCCATGATGAGGGGGTATGGATTTGAAAAAAATTCTTCGTGGTGCCGGCTGCTTGCATGTGCTAAATTAAAATGAGCACTTTCTTCGATTTCCACTTTTGACTTCCACCTGTTTCACTTTTTTTGCTAAAGCGCCCCCTGCAGGTGAAGGAACATCTTCTGTAAAACCGCACCTCATTATAAGCCGCGCGCGGTTCAAAGGGTGGGAAAAAAGTAGCGGCTCATAGTCCGGAAAATATGGTATTCATTTAGTTTGATGTTTCTTCATTCTGTTTTATAAGGAAGACGATTTATTGTAACGTTGATGGTGAAAATGAAATCTTTAATATAAAATAACTGGATTTTCTTTTAGGCTGCTAGAAAAAATTATTCAACGACCAATTTTTCTTTTAAAAGCAATTCGGGGAGATTCAGAGGGCTCGGGAGGCGAGGTGCACTGAGTCATGTACACAAATCACTTTTCCTGCATCCACAACAGAAAATACAATAACCAAAGTTTCATCAACTTAGAAAACCTAGTGCATTCTTACAGCTTAGTGAAATGCATATCAATCTTTTTCATGTTGGATGTGAGAAACAGAAAACCTCTCCGCCTGTTTAGCGCTGGAGGTGCACATGTTGAGTTGCACCAAGTGGAACAGGAAAAAAATGCCTGGAAAGTGGAAAAGGGGATTAAACGAATTCTGTCAGCACCTAGAACGATGAGGTGAAGAATGTCTTTTATAACCGGGTGATAAACCTTTACACGCCTTAAAGGATTTCCTCACACTGAGGCCTTTTCTGTTTGTTTTTGTGTCTTACTCTCTAATGACCTAAACACTGTAACAAATGTGTCTGATTAGACACAGAAAATGAAAAATTTGACTATTTTACCACTCTTCTTGCAACTGAGCTGTTCAGTCGCTGCTTTAATGATTTCCAAACTTTCCGGTAGACCCTTAAAATGTTGGACTCAACGCTATTAGTTGCATGAAAAGTAAAGGCCAGCAAAATCACTCGTTGCACAGCATAGACAACTGCATCATTACCTGGATTTATATAAATAAGATATATTTTTATAAGGAGAAAAATAAACACTCGAGACTACACCATTTTCTCCAACCCCAAGGCCACATAACGTCTATTTAGAACGCTATTACTCGTGCTCTTACTGAGCCAACCACTTTAAGCGAAGGTCTCTAATGAAGGCTAATGTTTTCTTTTTATCTGCAGGTGGGTGAGAATGCTAAGCAGGATCTGAAAGATGGACTGGCTCTTTACAACTCAGAAAACAACATAGGCCTGAGAAATGCATGGAACATCATCCAGGCAGAGGTTTGTCAACACGACGCAACACATTATTTTATTACTATCATCAACATGAATGTTTAATATCGCAGATGCAAAGAAGTCTTTGAGCTAATGCATCCCCTGACTTGTAGATGTAGCATTAATGTCACATAAAAAAACACTGTGAATGATCTGTTGATGTGCGTTTTGTTTCTTTCTTTCAGTTCTCTTACATCACAGGGATTCATAACAGAAGCTTTTATTATAACGTTTATTTTAGGTCTCTCTGCTGACGGGAAGCACGAACTGATCTTGTGTTGAATGTGTTTGCCGTTCGCAGTGGAAGTGCTGCGGTGTAATAGCATACACCGACTGGCACGACGCCCTGAAGGAGAAAGTAGTTCCTGATCGCTGCTGCCAGGAGCATTACCAGAACTGTGGGCGAAACTCTACCAACATGTTCTGGAACAGGGTGAGTTGACGGGGATGTAGTGCTGTGAAAAAAACTATTGTCCCCTTAAAGAGTTGTCTTTCACGTTGTTGTGTAGGAAAGGAGATTGGTGTGTCTGATGTTGCACACCGCAAGCCTGTCCTGTCCTGACAAATGGCCAATTCCGAGAAATGCTGGTTTAACACATCATAAGCGTAGACCCCCCAATACACAGCATGGCCAACAAAGAAAGTCATCACCAAAGTAAAAACATCACACTTTAATATTTCATTTGGCCGCCTTTAGCTTTGATTGCGACACACGATTGCGTTGTTTCGATAAGCTTCTGCAGTGTCACCAGATTTATTTCCATCCAGTGTTGCATTAATGTTTCACCAACATTTAGCATTAATGATGGTAGAGTCACAAAGTCTTCTCCAGCACATCCCAAATATTCTCAATGGGGTTAAAGTCTGGACTTTGCCGTGGCCAATCCATGTGTGAAAATGATGTCTCATGTTCCCTGAATATGCCCGTACCATCAGGGAAGATGGAATAACCTGGTCCTTCAGGTAGTCAGCTGACCTCATTGTGGGAGCACATCCTGTTGCTGAACCTAGACCTGACTAACTGCAGCAGCACTGCCCCCACAGGCTTGTACAATAGGCACTAGGCATGATGGGTGCATCGCTTCATCTGCCTCTCTTCTTACCCTGATGCACCATCACTCTGGACCACGGTCCATCTGGACTCATTAGACCAGTTTTTATTAATGTGTTGGACAGTTCTTACACCAGTTTTAGTTGTTTCTACAATCAACTTAGATGTTTACTCTGCTTGATGCATGCCAATGATCTGACCCTTCTCTAACTGATTAACATCTTTTCCACGATCACAAGCTGTGTCTTTTTACAATAAGAGGCAACTCAATGCACCAGTTGGGGTTAAATTATTGCCTATTGAACACTGGCTATATAAAGCGCGAGCCACTGCTGAAGTTAGCCTGAGCTATATCTAGCTTACTTGTTGGATGAGAGGAAACTACTCAAGTTCCAGGATATATTGGGAATATCCGGAATTTAAATCAATGAATGCCAGATAGATCCATAGCTAGGTCTGGTCCAGTCCTTCTCCTCTTCCTTGTTTGTCCTCAAGTCACTTTGCTCGAGTCTTTCTAGATCTTTAAGGTCAAACTTCAGACATCTTCCTTCAGGATTTAAAAATAGAGTAAAATTCATGATCCTGTGAATTACAGTTATCCAAGTTCTGAATAAGCAAATCAGCGCCATACCATTACTCTGCCACCACCGTGTCTGACTGCTATTATGTTCTTTTCATGTTCCAGATTTAAAGGGACTATAATATTTAAGCATACCAAAAAACACTAAACCAGAAGAAATCTGTAAAGGTGCTAATTGCATTTTACAGCTCTGTGTAGTTTGCTCTCCTCCACGACATTGTGGTAGACTGAGAAAATGTGCCAGTCAACATGTGCAAAAAAAAAAAAAAAAAAAAAGTGTCCTACAAGCTGTGAAATCATGAATTTACTGGAAAACAAATGCCTGAAAGCATTTATGGCTGTAAAAGTCAATCCAATGATTATAAAAAGCCATAAAACAAATTCTAATCTATGTGAAGAAAATAAATGGGCACAAACAGGCTTAGCTAGTTCCCAAATATCTCTACAAAAATAAGCAAAAATGGCCTGAACATTATTCTAAACAAATCCAGGCACAAAATAATTAGAGAAAATGAGGAGCCAGTAATGTGTGAGCCGCAAAAACACAAATGACCACACAGGGATGCAAAACTACTGCAAAGAATAAAGATGCAACTGTAAAACCCAAAAGAAAATAAGACAGGGAGTCCTTTTTAATCAGTCTGTGTGTTTTGATCCAACAGTAGAAAGGCTGCTTCGCCCCTTTATGACATGAACTAATTGTAATTACAGCACGTGTGGGACTCTAAGTACAGTTTTAATGATGATCTTCTCTTATGTTGGTCTTTAAAGGCTTGAATTTACATTTGTTTAATTTATAATTATGCTGCACTAAGACACTGTTGTTGTTATCAAGTGGCTGTCAAACCATCAGATCTACATAGAACATCAAATGAAACATCAAGTGTGTATTTAGTCCATCTGCTCAGGGGATTTGTTACAGAATTTGTCTGCATGAAAAGTTTTCCTTTTATTTCACAGATCTGGCCACCGGGGATTTTTTAAATTCCTAATATGCATGCACATTTTTCTTTTGAGAGAAAAAAGCGACATTCAACACTGCTCACAATGTCACCACTCCATTACAATTTGTTGTTGGTCTGGCATGGGGTTTGTTCGCAGGTCCAAAGCAGGGGATTAAAAGCTGTAATGTAATTGACAAAAATGAGAACAGGCCGACAATGAGCTGGCCTATTGGGAAAGCTCATCATTGATAGCTTTTGTGTAATTTTGCCCAGAGGAGAGCGCTCCATGGTGTTTAGTAAGGTCTACATGCAGCTTCAGCATCCTCGCTCAGAGGAGATCCCCTGGTCATCCGTCTGAATCAAGCTGTACATGATTGATGTAAAAAAAAAAAAAGATCTTTCTCTAGGTAGTCGCTTGTTTTAAAACCTCCTTTTTATTAAAAAAAATACAATTAGTATTTTTGGAGATTAAAATGCTTAAAATACTCCCTTTTCTTTAGGATATGTAGCAACGTACATCCACAAACCACAATTGTTTTGTCTCTTTTTATTTCATTTGGTCTATTTGTTTGTCACAAGCATCTGTTGCATTGCAGGGCTGCTACGAGAAAGTGGAGGAATGGCTGGATGATAACAAGCATCTGCTGGGAACCATAGGCATGGTCATCCTCGTAGTGCAGGTAGGAGGGAAAAATAGTTCTTTATTTCTGCCGTTAAGTCTCCATCTCTGTTTGTTCTTTCCGACCATCTGTCTGCTGACATGTAAAAGAAAAACAAACAAACAAAAGAGTTTATTCTGTGGCCTCTGTGCCTTTTTGTTCGATTGGGAAAGTTATGAGACTTGTGCGCGGTGGGCGTTCTGAGCACCCACACATCTTGAAATATTGGAAGTCTGCACCCGGTTTCTGTCTGACAGATTCAAAGCCACCTGGCTTTGGGCCAACTAGGCTGTAGTCAGGTACAAGGAGCTATTAGAAGATAGGAGAGTGGAGATAGTGAATATAGAGGAGCCTGTACAGAGTCTCAGATTAAAGCCCCTGAAGGGAGGGATGATAGATATTCCTCTGATGAAGCCATTTCTCCTGTAGTCCTAAGCGCTGCTTTACATTCATCCCTCTCTCTCGATTTCTGGAAAGTAGAATTTCAACTAACTTGGGAGATTTTGTACTGAAAGCATCCACAGACTAAACAAAAAGTAAATGTAAATTCCTTACATCTTCACGTCCCTAAATGGGATATTAGGAATAAACTGACTCTTTACAGGGTCAACAAATGTCACTCAGACCCCCACCTCCTTGGTGGCCAGAATACCGCATTTGCAACTTCAGAGTTGCCGTTCTGGTCTGTTGGACTTAAAAAAAATGAGCTAACATACTTGGAGCTGCAGTCGTGAATACAGCTGATTTACTATAGTGATGAATCACTCCTGTAGACACTAATGAAGGCACAGGGGACACTTTAGCTTTTAGATTAAGGCGTTAAAAAGACGAATGTACAGCGAGGAGATAGGGTTTGGCAAAGTTGATGGTTTATCCGTTGAGGTCCACGTGGCAGGGGTGAGGTGGTGCTCACTCCTCACCCCTGCCACATGGACCCAAGGGATAAACCATCAACCCTGCTCAATGGTCAACTTTCCTCGTGGGGTCACACCCATTAGGACAATGGGAGGGTTAAGAAAAGTACCCCTTGTTTATTATAGCTTAATAATGCACTAAGTAACATTAATAAAGGGACTTTTATTGTATTTGTTTACTTACCAGTGGACTCGGTTTTATGCAGCCAGCGAGTTCAGCAGTCACTCCCTCTAGGAGATACACGGCACCGCAGTTCTTCATTTACTGATGGGTTTAGATGACACAGATGTAGTACATCAGTGTTGGTTCTTGTACATTTGACATCTTTATTTGTTTTTGGTGGTAATTCTGTCTTGGTGCTTTTTTAAAGCTGCATGTGCATCTCTACGCAGCATTTTTCCAAGAATAGTCCATGGCTCCAATACTTTTTCCAGTTTTTCCAGCTTGACTGTTTACTGGAGCTAAAGAGGAATGATCCCATCCCCTCTCTGCTTGTCTCCTTTCACTTTTGTATTTTGTATTGATTTGAAAGTCTTTCCGCTCACCTTTTAGTCTTTAAATGACCTTGCCCCTGAATACATCTCAGACATGCCCTTCTGACTCTGAGATCCACAGATAAAAGCCTGCTGTTTGGGCCCAGATAGCAATTTGTGAGGCTTTTTCTCTCCTTTTTTTATGCGTTTCAAACAAAAACAGCTATTGAAGTCAACATGTTCAGGCTCCTGGGGATTCTGTGATCACCTAACAAAAACAGTCATGATCATGGACTCGCCATGCAGGACTTTAATGTCTCGCGTTGTAAGCAAAGACAGAAAGAGACAATAGTAACATTTTGGGTAAAGATTATCCATTCTAGGCAACGAGCTCATTAAAAACAAGGCAGTGGAGGTTGAGGGCATCATAAATACTTCTGTGTGAGTAGGATTTTCATGATGGCTACAGAAAAAAAACAATGAGCTCACTGGGTTTTAAAGTTTTTGTGGTGGTTTTGATTTTTGTCAGACTTTAACGTTTTTGGGATTTTTATTGAACATTTGCTCTCTTTCCTGTCAGATTTGCTCTAAAACTAAAAAAATTAAAAGTATTGAACAGATTTAATAAATAGTCTCACAAGCTCAACACAAGTATTGGTTTTTATTCTGACTGGCAAACAAAGAAAACAAAATTTCATAACTGCAGGAGCCTTGAAACTTTTCACGGTAAGTTGGATGATTCATGAAACGGTGTTTTTAAATGAGACTAACCCCGGGTTTCCACGGGAGCCGTCAGCAGCACGTTACTGCAGCAGCACGTCTTGCTCGCGTAAGCTGCTGCTTGGCCATTCCCACGAGACGCGAAGCAGCAGGGGGGCAGCTGTCACCGACCGACTTCGTCAGTAAACACAACAACAAGCAGGAGAAAATTACAACATGGTTTGTGTTTTATGTTCTGTCCGTTTTATAATCGCTAATACGGACCTGAAAAACAAAGGAGACCGCTAGCTAGGTGATAACTTCTCACAGGGACGCACAGTTAGTAACATTTTTTAAAAGTAAAGCAACCAGAAAGCAGTACGTTCTTTATTCTGAAAATCTCGGTAGCTTCTCTCCATTTCCGCGTCCGATTTCCTGTCTTTCCTTCCCCAAAAATGTCGAACTTGACCCGTTTCAGAGGCGTCGCGCGTAGAAAATAGAACCGGCGCGTAAAGGCCGCGACATGCTGCTCCTGAGATGCGGCCGACTCGCGCTGCTGACGGCTCCGGTGGAAAAGGTTCTGTTGACCACAGCGGTTCCTATCAGCAAGCAGAAATATTTTAGAAGTTTTGTCTTGCTTTTTGTAATTCACCACTAAATGAAACAAATCAGCTATGTTCATGATGTAAAACATAGAGGAAACGTGCTGGAAGGTGACTGCAGCGCCAGGTATGTCAGCTCCACTTTTACTAAGTCCAACAAGGGCCGGACTGGCATTCTGAAGTTGCAAGCGCAATATTCTGTCCACAAGGGGCAGTGGGGGTCTGAGTGACATTTCATTAACCCTGTCATTGCAGCAAATACTGGCTCAGGAAAATAATTTAAATATTTGAAAAAGTTGCTTAGTGTGGCTTTAGGGAATGTAAAATAATATATCTTCAAAGGTAAACATATAGAGAACCAGTGTTTCTCCATAAAGTAAAAGAATTTGGGACAAACACAGTTCATTAAACTGTGGGCCGCTGAAGATTTAAAGGTCACTCTAATTTTTACTGCTTTATGGAAGAACTATGATGTATTAAATTGACCTTTTACTTCCAGATTAGAGTAAAAATATTCGGAGTCATTTGGGTTTTGTTAAAAAAAAACAGTAAGTTCTACAACAATGACAGCGACACTGTGTGAAGTAGGGGTTGCATGAACTAGTCGACTAGTCGACTTCACTGCTCTGTGGTGACTTTTTATGCCTGTCATCGACTAGTCGCTGTCACGTGATAATGACTGACAAGATGCAGTCCTCGGAAAAGACAGCAGGTGATGAGCCCCTGCGCGTCGGGAGGCGGAGGCGACGCGCTGTGCCAGAGCGTCGGTACTGACACCGGCGGTAAAAAGGGGCATTTAACCAAACTGTGACCTTTTCCCTCTTGCAATTTAACCTTCCCCTCACCCCCATCCTAATCTTAACCAGTTTGCGCATGCAAAGCTCTGATCGTTGATGCGCTCCAGACATCTGCGTCCTGAGCACTGCCACAGTAACATTATCAAATCAGGTGTCGCCACCTCAAAAACAAATTAAACATGCAATCGTTCATGTCGGCTCATTTCCTTTAATGTTTTCTGTCTGTTATTTGTGTCTGATGCGTTTCGCTGCTGCGGAGCGAGGCACATCACCTGTTTTGTTCTCCGGTGACGCACCCCCAAAATTCCACTATCTCCGCTCCGCTCCGGCACGAACTCCGCAGCAAAAACGGTCCCGTTGTAGTCGGCCGGCGAGCAGCGGCACTCCGCTGTTTTTGCGGTCGGTAGATCTTTTAGAACTGCAGTTCAAAAGTAACTCATAAGGTGAATATAAATGAACCCAGATAGCAGTTTTTCTTTAGGATTGAGAGGAGATGCAGGAAGATAATAAACATACAGGACAGAAAACTAGTCAAATAAAAACAAGTTAGTTTTTGTACCTGGTGGTTGCAACAAACAGACACCATTGAAGGTCATCAGAAGTGAGGAACTGAAAATGAAATAATTATTTTAATGTTTAGAGCAGCAGGAACTCCGAGAGGCTGCAGGCGCATCAATGAGTTTGCGGCTGCTGCGCAGGGGGAGGGGGGAGAGGGCTGAAGCAGAAACTACCGTTGTTAAAAGAGATGTGTTTAACTTTGAAAATGTGGGCGCAATTTTAATTGTCAAAAACTCCAGCGAACCTACCGACCCCCCACCACCACCCCCGTGCCGCTTCAGGTGTATGACGTCATCAACGACTAGTCAAAGTCGACTCGATTTTCATTACTTGACTGTCGACTTAAAAAAAAATTAAGTCATGCAGCCCCTAGTGTGAAGGTTTTCATCAGAGACTGATGAAACATTTACTCAGACTTAAATGGCGATTTTAGGAAAATTATTAAATACTTGACCATTTTCAAGTGTTTCATTTATTCTAATGGATTTTTTATTTACCCATTCACTGCCAATCGTTTCCTGATCAGAACATTGTGCTCTATGATCATGTAAACGCCAAAACTAGCAAAAGAAAGGGTAGACTCACGTCTTAAATCAGGCAGAATCGGCGTGTTTCTAGCGTTATCCATTCTTTCATAATCAGTTATCGAAGTGTAGGCGGCAGAAGCTTTTATTCTGTTAGCGCCTCACTTTTTTCACAGCAGCGTCCCAAAGTGATCTCTTAATTCATGAATTTCTGCTTCCTGATCACGTGACGTGTGACATACGCAGATGAAGATCAGCTTTAGAGATGTGGTTTTTAACTCTCACGGTACAGGGGCTCGTTCCGACGCCCGCCCTGTAAAAAAAAAAATGCCAGCGGGCGGTTGGATTTAAAAGAAAAATTCTACATTTCTAAAAGTACAAAAGTCACAAACACTAAAGTCCCATCAGTCATGTTCTCAGTCAGGATGAATGGTTATAAACCTTGATCACGAA